TTTTTTTTTTTTTTTGGTGGTTCTCTTTGATTCCTTTTTAAGGGATATATTGATAGTAGTGGATATTTACGATAACTTTTGCTGCTTTTTATTTGGTATACTGAATAATTTTAATTTTTACTTGAAGGCCTTTTTTGACGCTGAAATCAAGAAACTGAAAATAAAGAACTGTTACTTCCCCTTATTTGTATCCTCCGGTGTTCTACAAAAGGAGAAGGACCATATAGAAGGTTTTGCTCCAGAGGTGAGATTACGTACTCTTGGCTCTCGAGCACACTTGTAATTTATCCTTCAATCATGTGTGGTTCAATTATGTTGGCTGTTTTGGTCTTCATAAATTAGCTATTAGAAATCGTGAGGAGGTAAGATGAAATTTTTGCAGTGTAAGAGGAAGATATTTTGGTTATTGAATTAATGTTGCTCGGTAGTTCAAGGTTTTCTGGCACTGTTGCCGTTTTAGACTTCAGCGAATCGAATTAATGTTGCTATCCAACATGTGTACTAGAAGCTTCAGGGGCGTTGTGATCTTGAATGTACTGTATTTGATACTTTTGCTCTCAGATAATTGGTATATGGTTTGGGGCTTGATAGATTTGCCTCTGGTTTCTAACTGTTGCCTTGAACTTCTTTCAGGTTGCTTGGGTTACAAAGTCGGGGGAATCGGAATTGGAAATGCCCATTGCAATTCGTCCAACTAGCGAAACCGTCATGTATCCATATTTTTCCAAGTGGATTAGGGGACATCGTGATTTGCCTCTAAGACTTAATCAGTGGTGTAATGTTGTTAGATGGGAATTCAGCAACCCTACTCCATTCATCAGGTGTTTAAAGTGCAATTGTATATTTATTTATTTCTATTATTTAACAAATTATCTGAAGAGGAAATGCAGTAGAGGTTATTGTAATCCGTGGATGTTGGTACAACTTTTATGAGCAGGCTGTGTCGTTTCTGAATAATTAGTTCGTCACTTTACAGTTTCTGGATTTATTATACCCCTTATACACTATGGAAATCATCATACTGAAATATTGACATTTATTACTTTTTTCATTAAGTGCTTATATATTGTGATGGGGAAAGAGATCATTGTACTCATTGGTTTCTGGTTTTCTACTATTGGTTCTTTATATTGCAGGAGTAGAGAATTTCTTTGGCAGGAAGGACATACTGCTTTTGCAACTAAGGAGGAGGCAGATACTGAGGTACTTCCTCCTGGCCATGAAAGCGCAATGATATTCCGTAATCATAGTGAATTTCAGAAATGATTTCATTCGAATTGTATGTGGATAGGAGTTATATAATTGATACTGCATTATTTTACCTTTTTATCAGATATGAAAAGCATGAGTGAATCATCATTTTTCTTATTTTATGACTCCTCTTTCGTGTTTCACTTGTTTGTGTACCGGTAGTTATATGCATTTTACTGTCACAGAAGAGATGCAATTTGTGAGGTTCTTTTGTTGCTACCTTAAGTTATTCTGTACTGGGATAAACATTAAACGATAAGGAAGAATCCAAGTGTTTAAATATGAATACTGACCTACTGATTAGGGGAAAGTTGTGACTGCCCAGCAGCCCATGAATCTAATTATTGCCCCCTCATTTTCTTGTGTTCGCTTTCAAGCTTTCATTTTTTAGTTAGTTGTTGGTCAATTCTCCTGGCATAGTGTTAATAATGGACTAGATCAAAATGGCTCAATTAAATTCTAGTACTTCTTCTATTAGTAAAGTCTCTAGAAAAAAAAAAATATATATATACCAAACGACGCAATGCACCTTGGGTCGCTACGGAAACAGCCTCCTTGTATAATTACAAGGGTAAGGTCTGCGTACAACTGACCCCCAGACCTCAACCTGTTGGGAATATACTGGGTATGTTGTTGTTGTTGTTGGTCACACATATAACTCCAGATTAGATGTTCCTCTCCTAACTGTTTGAGATTGATTCAATATTTTACTTAGCTCCTACCATTTCCCTCTCCAATCCGTAGTTTGCAAATTGAAGTTTCATGAGTACTTTAATGATTTTGTTATGAACTGATCGGATAGGGGACTACATTTAACCGGCCAGGAGGCATTTATTTAGAATCTGCATTTAGCAAGTTCGATTTGATTGATCTGAGATGTTTAGAATTTATCTTTTTTTTTGTATTATTTTACTGCTAATGCATGATGTGTATTTTACTGACAAAAATATAATTATTAAATGCTATAAAATTTAATATGTTTGCTGATTACTTGTTGGGAAGGAAGATGGCTTTGTTCCCTGTTAGCATAGTGCTAGTTCTTGATAGCCTATTTCTGTCCTATGCAGGTGCTTGAAATCTTAGAGCTTTATAGACGTATATATGAAGAATTCTTGGCTGTTCCTGTAATTAAGGGTAAAAAGAGCGAGCATGAAAAGTTTGCTGGTGGACTTTATACAACTACTGTGGAGGTTGCAATTCTCAGTCAGTATTAGGTTACTTTTTTATTGAGTAGCAACTAGTAGTTTATGCAGAAACTTCTCTACAATATCTTCACAAGTTTCTATATTCTGCATTACAGGCGTTTGTCCCAAACACGGGCCGTGGTGTGCAAGGTGCCACTTCACATTGTCTGGGTCAAAATTTTGCTAAAATGTTTGAGATTAATTTTGAGAATGAGAAAGGAGAAAAGGCTATGGTCTGGCAGAATTCTTGGGCGTATACTACTAGAACGGTAAATGAAGTATTTAGTCTTCTCATTGCTGCGTAACTCTTTTTACTTGTTCTTCTTATCCATTTTATTCCTCTAGATCTATGTTTATTTATGACCAGCAACCTTTAGTGTAATGTTATACAAGAATTTTCTGGTTGTTTTACATGATTTTCCGAAAGAGCCGGTGCAAAAGTTAAATACAATGTGAACCTACAGAATTTTCTCAGGAATGCTAGTATCAAGATGTAGCATTCAAGGCCCTTTTAACAGTTAAGGCAACAAAAGCATCGACATAGAAACTAGAAAGGAGAATGTGACATTCTTAGAATTCTTTTGCTTAAGTAGACGTTTTCGTTCTATGGTATCGCTAGCCCATATACATATTTTGTAATGCACATTTTTTCCCTTGACTGTTGTAAATTGTTACAAACATATATATTTTTTTTTTTCTATTTCACTTGAGCACTTTTTTTAGCTTAATTAACTTATAGTAATATGCCCGTTGAATTGCGCTTTCATATCACTGACCCCTTTCCTGCCAACTGGCAGATAGGAGTGATGATAATGGTTCATGGAGATGATAAAGGCTTGGTGTTACCTCCAAAAGTGGCATCCGTACAAGTAATTGTTATCCCTGTCCCGTACAAGGACGCAGACACTAAGGGTATCTTTGATGCATGTGAGACGACCGTGAAAAACTTGAATGAATCTGGTATCCGTGCCGAGGCTGATTTTAGAGATAATTACTCACCAGGGTGGAAGTATTCTCATTGGGAATTAAAAGGTGTTCCTCTCAGGATTGAGATAGGCCCTAAAGACTATGCAAATAATCAGGTACACAAAGAGAGTCATCCCACTATCTTTTGCATGTGTTGTTAGCTGAGAAATAAATTGATGGACAAAAAGATTGGTATGTTATCAGGTCCGTGCAGTCCGGCGTGACAACTCTACGAAGCATGATATTCCCATGGCCGATTTAGTCGAACGGGTGAGAGATATGCTTGACCGCATCCAAGAAAGTCTTTTTGAGGCTGCCAAGCAAAAACGGGATTCGTGTATTGAGGTTGTTCATACTTGGGAAGAATTTGTGGAGGCACTTGGCCAAAAGAAAATGATTCTGGCCCCATGGTGTGATGAAGAGGTATTGATGTGCTTTCCTTTTTTCATTTTTTTTTTTTTTAATTAAATTACTTCCTCCTAGCATTCTTGTCACAGTTGTATGTAGTTTTATTGTTTCTATTGGAACATTGTTCGGTGAGACTCCTGTATATATATTGAGAAAAGTGAGTAACCTCGACAGGCTAGTATTATGATGTTTCAACTGAATACCGGTCTCAAATTCTAATAATTTCACTCACTACAATTTTGTTTTACAGAATTTTCAACTATTTGTAGGAAGGTTACACGAGATGTTTGGCCTAGTAATATCCCATGTAATATGCTAAAACTATACTCCCTTAATATATAAAAAAAAAAAAAAAAATCCAATATAATATGCTAAAATTATTCTCCCTCTACAACTACCATTGAGGCATTAATATGCTGTGCATACGTTCACTATCCAAAAGGTACAATTTGTGAAATGGCAACATGTGTGTTGAGGATAGTATATGTGATTTATAAAACTGAATATTCTTATGATCAGGTTGTAATTTACTCTTATTCACTCTTATGATAAGGTTTGGTCTTATGAATTTTCTTTTACTTTTCATTTCTACTGCTCTGAAGTTCGATTAAATAGTTTTTATTTTATCCCTTTGGATCCAGAATTATCTTTGCCTAACTCTTTTCTTGTTATGCTAAAGGAAGTGGAGAAGGATGTGAAGGCCCGAACAAAGGGGGACATGGGTGCCGCCAAATCACTTTGTTCACCATTTGAGCAGCCTGAATTGCCTGAAGGTACAACACAACATACATTTTTCTTTTTAAATATATTACATACCACGTAAACGAATCCAAACAATGAGCTTTTCCTTAATATTCCACTTCTCAGGGTGGGATCTTTACAGAAGTACCTTGGATGTTTATTAGACTAACTGAAAATAAAATTGAACAACGGAATACGAAATCCTGTTATCTTACAGAACTACCTTGGATGTTTTGGGGTTGCATTTGTGAATAATTTTTAGGAATCTGTTTTTGTCGGATTAAAAGATGAATGAAATGTGATGCATTTGTACCTTTTTTTTTTTTTTTTTTTTTTTTTTTTTTTTTTTTTATTTTTTTTTTACAGGCACAATGTGCTTCGCTTCAGGAAAGCCTGCCAAGAAGTGGACCTACTGGGGAAGGAGTTACTGATCACTTGTAATTTTCTTGTGAGTTTTAACCATTATTAGGCTACCAGGGCTTATTGGTATTTAAAAAATTATTGGTCTATCCACAAAGTTGAGTTGTTTGATGAGAAAACAATATTGACTCTTACTTAATCCTTTGGTTATAATTTGGGTCATCTCTAGTTGATTTATATTTAAAGAATTTCTTATACCAACTTGCAAAAGACCAAGGATTTTCTTAGAGCCTAGTTTCGAGTTCTCATAGTTTATGGTCGAAGCTGTTACATGTGGAAGGGTCATTTTTATTTTACCATACCGTTAAAATATTTTTAAGTCGGTTAAGTATAATGGACATCAACAATATAATTTAACAACTTAATTTGAGAATTGAGCCAAACGAAGTGTTTTGATTTACTTTTGAGTCAAATTAAGTATACGGGGACTTCCGAGTCAAATTAAGTTTGGTTGCGTACCAGTTATATTAAGTATGGGAAATACTAGGTACCGTTACAGGACTATTCTGCAGGTATTTTACCGTTGAATACACATGTAGTTAGTATAAAATAGATGATCCTGTTAACACACCCAACAGAATGATACCGTAATATGATGGAAAAAAATGAAAATAAAAGTATGCACAGAGATCACAGTTGGCGTGCTTAAATTTGTTGTTAGTTGACTGCGCAACAGATTAAAAATTTCGTAAGAATTGGCAGTTGCAAGGATTAGAAAGAGAACGAAAGACCCTTTATTTTCTGTTTCGACCCAAGAATATCTATCTATATATTCAACTAAAATGGCTAATCTATATCTCCTCCACGTGTAAAAAAAAA